ATTTTAATAGATTTCTTAAATTCAACAATACTTGTCAAATGTTTCTTATTTACAAAACAATTTAATTATTTTTTTGTGTTGGTAGCCTTAATATCCATTATTGTTCTTATTTCACATTTAAAAGTTACCAATGACCAATTATATCAATTTATTTAAATATTTTTGGCAATTATTAAGGAAGTAACAACGAACAATGCAATTGATTGGTTTTCTTTCTCAGAAGTGGATACTTAATGTGATGCTCCCCCAGGTGGTGACTGTAATGATGACACCCAACAAGAAATGATGTACATTCCCTTCTTAGAGCCTTGTAAAGCAAGCAGGACCACTGGGAGTTAGAAAGACAATTTTATTATTTAGCCTAGCAATTTCTGAAACAATGGTCTTACACTTGTTCCGAACAAACTAACCACACAGCAACAACCTTAAAGAATGAAGGACCGTCCTCTACTCTCTGACAGGTATATTCCTATCATTTTGGGTGGCAAGGTAGAAAGAAGACATACTTAGCTGGAAAGTGCATATTCCAGAGATTTAGTCCTTTCACGTCAGAACACAAAAATGATTTCAAGTCAAATAAATCCATCGTCCTTATCACTTATTTCAGTGAATCCAAAGGAGAGCCTTACATTCTCGGATCATATACGTGGTTGCGAGATTGAAGGTAACTTTCAAGGCCCATAATGACAGTGACGGCAATCATTGACAATTAAAAATAGTCCAGGACAGCATACCAATACCTTACAAATCTAGTTTGTTTGTCAATAGCCACTGAAGAAGGGCCTGAAATATTGAAAATGAAGGAGGTGTTTAAGATATCGGTGTGCTGCTCTGGAATATTTTTGATACTTTTTGGTTGAGGAATTCTGCAACCATACAATTGACTGAAGATGAACTTCTTTTTAATATATGTTTAATCATTGACACTTAATCACTTATCTTTTAAAGAATTGGCTCTTGATGATAAAATCAACCTTGATTTCATCACATGCAGTGATGTAAATCTGAAAAAATGAAGCAAAGATACATCTTAACATATTTTACTGCATTGTCAATTCATTTTAAAACAAAGAACTATATATGTATAGGTTAACCTCAACTTCTTCACACATGGGTGGTCTTCATGAATGTATCCATTGTAGACCACTCACTTTGTCTCCCACTATGCTCCTGTCAGCAGAGCCCAGTCCACAGAAGGTAAGAGAAAGAGTGGAGGGAATGTGTGTGAAGTTGGGAGTCCTTTATTGAATTTTCCAACCACCCCTTCCCTGGCCCTGCAAAGGCTGGTGACAGCAAGAGTGGGCTGGACATGAAGTGAGACGTTATCACTGAGGCAACTGGAGCAATGTGCCCTGTCCTGAAGGCAAGTAAGTGACATTGCGGGCACGTGAGAGCTGGAAAGCGATGTCCTCGGCTGCCTCCAGCTTACGAAGCTCCACCAGACCATCACCAGCCTCCATCAGGGAGTTAGCAATGAGCAAGGCAGCCTGGGAATCTCCCTCTGCTGAGATGATGGCTGCCTGTTTCTGTTGCTCTGCCTAAAAGCATAAAAGAGGATTATTTAAGCGGATCCATTTCCGAACCTGCCGAGATGATCTGGATGACCTGTGTGTTAAAAATAAATACCTTTTCAACAACAAAACGGGCCCTCTCAGCCTCCTGCTGGGCCACCTGCTTCATCTCAACAGCCTCTGTGAACTCCTTTCCAAAGGTCAAGTGTGTCTGCAAGAACACAAAAGATACATTTATTTTTGCATGTTGTCTTCCTGAAAACACAGCACGGGCATTGTTGCAAAATTAGCCAGGAGCTTCATACCAGTGAAACGTCGTCCAAGATGAGGCCAAAAGTGGAGGCTCTTTCTGTAAGGTCCTCACTGACCTGCTGAGACACCAGTTCTCTCTGGGTAATGAGCTCACCAGCATCAAAACGAGCCTGTGAATAAGGGAAACAGACAAGACAGAACCACACACAGAGACGTATGAGTCACTTCATCAGCTCATTGTGATCCGTTTCGCAACAGCTTATCTTGACTTATACTCACCACTACAGCCTTCAAGACCTCTGTGGTGATGGATGGCAGCACCCTCTCATCATAGTCCTCACCGATAGTGGTGAAGATTCGTGGTAGCTGGTTGGTCACCGGCCGAAAGAGGATACGTAATGTGATGTTTACGTTCTGCAGATCTGCAGAAGGAAAGATTACATTTTAATCTTAGTGCACCTAAGTCATAACGCTTTGTTACATGATGATGTAAAGTATGTCTGCTTATTTTGGTGGTTGCACCCTGAATGTGTTAATTCAAACAAGTGGCTTTTAAAAGACACCTGAAAGGTAAGAGCAGCTTTACAGCAATCCAGAAGATAACTGATGTACCTTTGCTGCCTGTAATGACAGGAACGTTGCGTGGACGGGAGCGGCAATCGAAGACGATAGGTTTCTGAACCCAGGGAATAAGAAAGTGGGTCCCTTCTCCAACAACAACATCCTGCACTCCTCTAAACCGGTCGAATATCACAGCCTGGTGCCCTGCATCAACTGTAGCGGGAGGAGAGTTAGTCACATGTCAGAGGAATGTGAGGCATAGCAGCAGTCAATTATTATTATTATTTTTAAATCATCTTCAGTCCTTCAATGATTTTTTTTTTTTTTTACCTTAGTCACAAATCCCTGAATTGTTAAATAAGGTTAATTACGATGCTAGAGAGAAACAAGGTGCTGCAAGGAAGTTTTCAGGTTTAACTGACACCATCACAACTCAAATCCAGTCGTTTGAGACGCACCCCCCCAAAAAAACAAATAAACAATACAGTGTAACCATTCAGAATTTTAAGACAAACAATGAAAAATAAATAATTTGATAAGTCAACAACTAGCAAATGGCTGCTTTCATTTGACCTTAAATATCTCAGCATTTAGAATTCATGTTTGTATGTAATGTAATTTTTTTATTTAACCTGTATTTATCCAGGAAAGTCCCATTGAGATTAAAAACCTCTTTTTCAAGGGAGTCCTGGCCAAGAGGCAGCAAAAGTTACACAGTCACACTCACAACACACAGACAGCTGTAATGATTTTGGCTTTATATTTATTTTTTTAATTCCCCCTTGTGTTTTTTTTTTTGTATTTGCCTATCTGTGTTCTTTAAGTGACCGTGCACTAAGCTCCCTCAAATATTCATTTTAAATATACTGTCCATTTAGGACACAGATGATGCTGTACACTATCCTGTAACAAACAAATGCAATGATTCAGAGATTATTTTGAATTGTCACTTCAGGCTTACAGAACTCCAGTGTGCATCTCAAGAACAACTATCACTAGTGAGGTAAAATCCAGGTGAACTGGCCAAGGTTAATCAAAATGATCTTTTCTTTTGAGTCGTGTGATGTTAGGTGTACAATACAATAGTACCTTACCATTGAAAAGCGCAGAGTTAACAACACCTCCGCCAACAGCGAGGGCCAGACCCAACTTCCCAATAGACTCAAACAGCTTGGCCATGACAGCAATCTACTGACAGTGAGGAGATTGATGCAATTAGTACACATAATCAGCATTAATCCAATACAAGTAAACCATTTGAGTGTTATTGGCGGTACTTAGAAAGTCTAAATCCCTTCCACTGTAATAACTGGCCTTGGGCTGATAGATGCCAAAGCTATGGAGGTGAGCTAACACAAGTCAATAGCTAGCATTAGCTTTGCAGATAGCTAGCTGTGAATTGAAACAGCTCGCAAGCCAAGTCGCCAAAACCTTGAATCTAAAATCCAACGTGTAAAACACTGCAAATAATGTCTTGGACGTCGCTTGAAAGTCGCCTTTGCGGCTGACTGTTCGTGTGTTATCTGTACAACATGCAAAGTGGTTACTCGTGTTCACCCCCTTCAACTCTTATAATATACCGTAATTTATCCAAATGTAGTACATAAATATCTCCGCTTCTGTTTAACTATGGTACAAAGCATGTTTGGCAACAAAAAAATAAGCCATTTCTTTGAGTCATGAACACACAGCATGTTTAACTCACCCCAGTAGTACGCAGATATCTGTGACCTCCACCGGACACGACGTAAGACACATGCAATATCTGCTCTAGAGCGCATGCGCGTTGCACGTAGCGACGTAGTCTCCGATTGGACAAAGGTTCCGTTTTCTTCTTCTAGGGCTTTTGCATGTAAGGGTTGGCTTTAATGTAAAGATGCCAATTACTGCCAATCATTGTTTTGAGGGGAAGGCTGGACCTAAGATTACTGAAGAATCAAAAAAAAAAAAAAAGAACAAATGCTTCTTCCCAAAAGGCATAAATAGGCTACAAGAACGACCGCTGCAAAAAAAAAAGAAAAATGTTAAAATTATTTAATTTGGTAGTTAAATGGTTCCATCTGGTTGACTAAGTTCAGCCATATGTAGGCCTACACAGCGAAGATGGGTGAAATTAATAGTTTGTTTCTTAAAGATGACTGAATCTTGACGTGGAAATACTATTTTCAGAAAAGGTCCCGTATTCAGAAACCATACAAACTTATAAGTACAGAAGCAAGGACTGTGATAAGAAAAGAAATGGTACAATATATTGTCTACATTGATAAGGCATTACCATTGCAAGACAGGCCTGCTGATGCAACAATATGTGATTGTGTTGTGAATGAGCTTTACTAATGTTTTATACAGGCTATAGTTAGGCGGCTCAATTCTGCAGGATTTTTTCCACTAAATATTAGAAAAACTACAATTGCTTCTTTGGACCTTGTAGGCCTAACCCGCAGGTGAGATAATTGAGGTAGGTCTAGCCAAGAGCTTGCTTCACTCTTTGCATTTGTGATTGGTGTGCTTTGTTATACGTGTATAGACTACCTATGAGACGGCGCTTGGTCGCCCCCTTGCGTGGATCTGATAAATCACACAAATTTGTAGTTTCACTTTCCTCCCTCGGCTTGGAAAGTGTGACGATCTTTGCATGATCGCGACAAAACGCCCAGAAACAATAATAAGGTCGGTGATTATCAAGAATCTTTATTTTACCTGAGATGCTTTGTGACCTGTAGTTATAACGTCGCACCAAAAGAGGAGATGAATCGATTGTCAGCAGGCAGCTTGTCAGTTTAGATTTGACTGTTTTTTTTTGTTGTTTTTTTCCACTTCCTTGTCACTGAGCTCTGCAATCTGGCTTTCTCTCTCACTTCTACGTACGTATAGCCGACTTCAATAGTTTACACCATGGAGTGTTAAATCAACATTTTGCACATTCATCGCAATATGCCTGCAAATTAGGACTGATCGAAGTCATCAACATTGTAACATGGCAATTAGATGAACTAATGCGTGTTGTTGTGTTAGATGTAACATCCAGCATCCAAAAAATGTTATTTTGTCAGTCAGCCAAACTACAGATAGGCCTATAAATCAGGAAAAAGGCCGGGGGTGAGGGGCGTTAACGTCATAATCCGCCACATTTCGATATAGTAAATTTACTATGTCGAAATAATATACAATATTTATATTGTTCTTCACAATTCGTCACAGATCTTCATTTACCTGTTTTTTTGTTGTTGTTGTTGTTTTTTTTTTTACATAAAAGCTGTTTTTGTGTTCTTCAATAACACTCAACAAGTAGATCAGTTTGCCTTTAAGACGAAAATGGTCATGTCTTAATCTTAACCTCGATGTTAAAAAAAAAAAAACTGCTGATGAGAGAAAATACTTTCAAATGTTTTGATAATAATTTCGACAAACAATTTTATTTTTTAGGCACCTGAAATGTAGATATTGAGTTATGTTGGTGTAATGTCTTAGTAACCCCTACAGGTGGTGTTAAATTATCAAATATGTCTCCCTTCCTATTTGCAAGGGTGGGGTCTCTGAACTTCAAAATTTAAAGCTTGCTGGAGGGGTGCTGTGATTTATCTATTTGTCTTCTCTATATTGCTCTTCACACTACAGTTCTGGCGACAATTGGAACTTTTTAGCTGTGTGATGTAGTCATGTTTTTTAAATTCACAGCAGTGGCCGTGTTTCTCCCAGCAGATGGCGGAGCGAGGCAGGACTGTGAGGGTGAGTGGTCTGCCCGCCGACATTGAGGATGGCAGGCTGAAAGATAAGCTATTAATCTACTTCCTGAGAAAAAGGAATGGAGGAGGGGAAATAGATTCCGTCACCATCGTCAAGGCATTGCACGTCTGTGCCCTTATCACCTTTGAGGACATTGGAGGTCAGTAGAGTCGTGTGTGTGCCTGCCTTTGCATGTGAAATAAGATCTTTATGATTCTAATACAGAGACACGATTAAACAAAGTATTATTGTGTAAGGTTAACACTCAAGTTTAAAAAAAAAACAGGGGTGACAGATGCTTCTTTAACTTTTATTCTACAAGATGTAGCTTCAATAATTTTGAAAAGTAGTGGTAACATTTTCACTGTGTTGAATGTCACCACTGATTTGCATTCAGATGGAATGCTGGCGTGCAAGTCAATGTAGTAGCCAATGGTGAAAGAGCTTAGTCAGGATTTCTCCCAGACAAAGATTGATTTCCCTCTGGTTAACCTTCTTACACAGTGGCACAGAGAGTTATTCAACACAGCCGGCACATTCTGGAAGTGGATGGAAAGAGGCATAAAGTCACTGTAACTGAGCACCAAGAGAGACTGGATCCAGACGAGGTAATATTTATCTAGAATAGGGGTCGATCGAATATCACCCTAGCTGAATATCTGTGCCGATTTCTGGGAATTTGGCCGATTATCTGCTTCAGCGTTTTATTTACAGATCGCTGATATGATTAATTAATGAATAAGTGCACTGCTTTTGCTACACTGCAGGTGTGATTCGAGAGAACCCTTTAGCAGGAGTAGGGTCTCCAGATGAGCAATTTAAACTATGACATGTGTTGGAGTTTGTATTATTCCAAATTATTCTACATTTTGACAGATTTTTTGTTTTGTTTACTGTAAATACATATCAGGCCCACATATCAGTTATCAGTCTCATGAACTACTAATAAAAGGTAGTGGTATCGGCCCTGAAAAACCAATATTGGTCGACCCCTAATCTAGAATGCTTGGATATATGTCAACAAATACTGAATAAAAATCCAAATCCATTTGAACTTGTTCTCTGCTTTAATCATAGGTCATCCTGAGTTTATCAGCAACTGTCAACTATAGCCAGCTTCCCGGGGGAATGATTGCATTGACAAGCCTTCTCACGAGCCACCCAGATATCCAGATAAACTACCGTGCTACTGAGGAACTGTGCACTTTGCAGGGGGCTTATTCCAAAATCCAAGCTGCCTTGGCACAACTACTCAGCTACCCTGGAGGCCCTCAATCAGCAGGAGCGAAGGACCCAAGTCAACTTGCAACAAGTGACTCCTGCTCAATTCAGATGGCATATCATGAGCCTAATACGCAGGAATCTGAAGATAAAAGCAGGAAACCTTGTGAAAAAAGAAAACAGAGAGAGAAAGTTCATCCAGTTGGCCCTTCTAATGAACGCAACTTAAGCTCATACAGACACTTGACAGATGGAGGTTACGGCAGGGAAGATACCGAGCAGACAGAGGGTGCAGCTCTGCAGCTTCCTGAGCATCCTACCACACCAGAGGAGGACTTCTCACTCATTGTAGATGCAGACTTGTTCCAATATCTACAGAGAAATTGCCAAAGGGAATATCAGAAGATCCTCAGTCAGTACAGTGTGGATGTGGTTGATGTGACAAATCAGGGGTTGACAACACTGTTTTTGCAGATTGCAACAGGAGTGGGGGAAGCTGGCCGAGATCAGGAGCGCATGAGTCTGGCAAAAAAGTCACTACTAAGACTTTACCAGGAGAATGAGACCAAGATCCGTCGAGCCCAGCTCCCTAAAAACATCCTGTCCCTAAAGGGTGGACTGGAAGCGGCGATGGAGAACTTAAGTGTCAGACTTCCCAAGCTTCTTCTTAATGAAGATGAGCAAAATATTTACATTGTCGGGAGCAGTAGTGATGTGTCTGAGGCCAAGCAGTTTCTCCTCCTAAACCACAGAGAAGAGAAAGAGGAATTAGCTAGTGTTCTTCGATATCCTTTAAATGATCCAGGTACGACATCTCATGCTGATGTGCAGATCCCCCCCTTCACTTCTTCTGCCACTGTAGAGCCAGTTGAGGATTCAATGGATCAGCTGCTGAGGTCAGAGGAGGATGAGAGGAGAGACGAAGGAGCCAGAAGGTATAAACTAGCAGCTCGATTTAAAGATTCAGGACTTGCTGCGTTAGGCAATCGGCCAACTGACTTCAGCTTAAAAGGGCTCTCGTCTCCCAGAAACAAGCACACATTAGGCCCATGTTAGGGCATGATGTGTTATCAGAAGCAGCAGGTATTCCCGTTGGAAGAGCACAAGCCCAAAACACTGGAGGGGACATCTTGTTCAGGAGTGGAGATGCTTTCACTATAACGGCCTCTGTGAGGAACAAAACATCCTTGGACTCGCATTTAACCGATACTCGACCCAAGAGTTTTACAGCCCCACTTGCACTGCTCAGTCTAGTTTGTCAGAAAGTTCTCCACGTCCACCTGCTGGGTCCGGGTCCAACCTAAGGCGAACCAGTAGTTTCTCCGGAATGCCTCAGCAGAAGGCCCAAATTGTAGAACAGAAGAGTCAGGATGACTCCGGCCAGACCAGAGCAAGATCATCTAGCTTCAGTCACCGAAATGGTAGGGACAAGAAAGAAGTCTATACTGCCGAGATTACAGTTTCCCCTGCGATGTGGCAGCACATAAAAGAAGCCTACAGTGACCGAGTGCACGACCTCACCTCTGATGTTCAGATGAAAGACAGGGACTCAAAGGATAACTGATTTGACCGTCACCTTAAGAGGGGCAAACTGGTCCACAGTGAGTTCATGTCAGAAAGGCTTGCAGAAGCTGGTTGATTCGGTAAGTGTGGACTTTACTCTGCAGGAGCTGAAATTGTCAGAGCTGGGTATTACGGACAGAGCTGATGAGAATCTACAGGCTTGTTGTGCTGAGGTGCGTAGTCAGTTCAAGAAGGTAACCATCCATGTTTTAGATACCAGCTTATTTCTCCTTGGTCCTAAAAGGTTGTGTTCTCAGGTAGATTCTTCACTGCGGGAGATATTTCTGGAGTTTTAGCTCCTAATCTGAACAACATGACTTAAGTAGTGCCTCTGCCTACAAGTCCAATCAATATCCGTTTGTACAAATGAATGAGGACAAGGGTGCTAGTCTGCAGGGTACCAGTAAACCACAAGTAATGCTAGAGAGCCCAACAAGTCCAGTTGATGGGGCAGTTATTAGTCAAGAAAGGAGATCAGACCATAGAAGTGACGTCCAAGAGACAGAACTTATGAATGGGTCTGTCACTAAACCCTCTGTGAAGAAAGATCCTGTCATTAAGGAGAAATTGAAGCTTGTAGGTACAGCGACAATAGAGGGACAGAGTACAGGAGATGATAGTAGTGTGAGTCGTGTGAATGATGTGGCGACAAAAACCAGTTCTGATAAAGACAAGAGAGAGAGACCCACAGATTTAACCCGAAGGGACAGTGTACAGCAAAGCCGAACAGAGATCCATGACACCCCACAGGAATCCAGGTCTGCTGTTGGAGGTCTGTGCATCTGTGTGTGTGGAGAGCGTGACAAGTTGATGAAGAGAACCAAGTGTGGAGCAACCTTCTGCTCAAAGTGCCTGGACATAGAACATGCGCAGTGTAGTGTTTGCGATGAGGCAGAGCAGACACCGCAGGGCATCCAGGGCAAAATGAAATACTCCAAAATATACATCAGAGTTCCAGGTCACCACAAAGACTCTGCAATCAAGGTCACTTACAAGATTCCTGATGGCGTGCAAGGGGTAAGAGGTTTATTCTGAATATATTTTGTCTGATTTAGCTGATACATGCCTTTCGATGTTGTGCCAATTAAGGTTTTTTTTTTTATTTGATTTGATTTGAAGTAAAAAATAATAATGGAAAAAACATTGGCTTCTCAAAAAACACTCTGTAAAAGAGTTTATTTTAATTGTCAATCCCAGTGAAATGGTATCATACACTTCCTTGGCTTGTAGATGACTCCTTTACTTCATAGTAAAGCTGTAACTTTAGATATATCAGAGAGGCCGAGTATGATTTGTAAATGGTAAAAAATAAATAAAGGGTTTTAAAGATAGGAACAACTTAAACATCTTGCCCACCTTTGTATAGTCTGGGACGAGTACTTTAGGCTAGCTTTTGAGGTTTAATTACTAGATTTTGATTTTAGCTTTTGCATGGTAATATATAGAAAATTCTGAACCACTGTGGTGTTTGCTTTGTTTTAAGGAGGGTCACCCTTCTCCAGGAAAACCCTTTAAAGGAGGGCTGTTTGAAGCTTTCTTCCCTGACTGCGAGGAGACAAGGAGGCAGTTGCCCAGGCTGGACAAAGCCTTTAAGAAAGGACTCACCTTCACAGTGATTGACAGAGAAACAGGGGCCAAAGTCGAGTGGGACTGCATCCCACACAAGACCTCCCTACAGGGAGGCAAAGCAGGGTAAGTTAGGCCATTGGGAATCATTGGGAATCTACCATTTTCTGCTGACGCCATGCTCAGGGTGGAAGACTAACAATGTTATAAATTCATACCGCTGTGTTCCAGCCTGTAAGTTGTATTAATGATTTTGATATTTTACAATCTGTATTATTTTACCACTTCCAGATTAATGAGCAACTAAAAAGACAATGAAGAGTGAAAATCCAGAAAGAGATAATCCATATTTCAAGATAAAAATAACATATTTAACAACAGGCTAGCTACTGTTACATTAAAATGTTATTTTACCTTTTGAGCAGTTTGAATTTGATCAAACCTGTAGCAGTTCTGTAGTATAAAAAGCCATACTAGTCCATGTGTTGGAAATGAACATTCTTCTTTTTGTTTGTGGCAGGAGTGGTTATCCAGATTCCTTTTACTTGACTCGTCTGTCTAAGGTGTTGACCTCCCATGGTATCGAGGAGCCAACCACCAGATATTTAGAATAAAAGCAACCTGAGGAGGATATTTGTGTGGTGAGGTGATTTCATGTGTTTACTTTTTTTTTTTTTTAAATTACAGCCTTTTAAACCAACTCTCTATGGTGATAAGAACCAGGTTGCATTGCTTTGTTTGACCAATTGTATGATGTCTGATGTATATATTTTCATATAAAGGTTTTAAACCTGTCATTGTAGTTGTTTCAGACTTATGCAGGTTTGTTTTGTCTATAAAAAACATACTTTTCTGTGTGTTCAAAGCACTGTTAAGATTAATATTTTTACTGTGCTCTTAAGGGCAAAGGATGACCAAGATTAGGGTAAAAAAATAATTTCTTAGTAGAAGAGCGAAAGTAAGTGAAATAAATTACTTTTTTAATGTCTCTGTTTGTTTTTGTTTTTTCAAGCTGGGTACAGATATTTAAAAAAAAAAAAATCACATCTCCCAAAAATTTGTTATGCTTTTTTTATTAGTCCTGGAAAACATGTAAGGCATATGGTAACATTACACACTGAAGCGTTACAAGCTCTAGAGGCCATGTGGACATCATGGCACCACGCAGTAAACCCAGAGTCAAGCACAGAAGCAGCATTAATTCAAAGGGTTTAAAAAACAAAGTGGGGACAAGAAGATTGTTTGCAACCAGGAAAAAAAAAAACACAAAGAAGAGGAGAACTAGCTTGGAAATCAACCTGTTGGGTATGCCTTGTTGAACATTTCCAGTTGTGACTGAACTCTAGCAGGAGGCGTGTGGAGGGATGGATGTGAAGAGAGTTTCTGAAGCATTCCCAGAGATAGGTCAAAGTGTATCATGACAATGCTGATGCTGTAGGCGAAGGAAGTTGGGTGCCACAGGGAGGCAGTGGATTGGCTTCAGTTGGCAACTTTATACGACTGGTAGGGCGTTTTCCTCCCTCACACCACACCACTACATGACTACTTAACAAGTGTGGAAAGAGACGAAAAGCGTCACAGAAACATATGCTATAGTTTCAGGTTGACTAAACATGCTTTCAACTATTATACATGACAAGCCCATCCAGGTTGTACTCTCAAAGCATCTCTGTGATGTTGCTGCATTGCAAAAACATTGAAAAATGAGAACAAAAGCGAACGATAGCTGCAAGTAGATGGTGTTTGGGTTCTCAGTGTGGATGAGTGAACACAGTGGCTCTGTTTTTTTGGAAATTAACCACGGACTCAGAATACTAAAACTTGCATGAAACATGGAAGGTGCGCAGGACAATTGGTGTGACAGCTTGTGCAGTGAAAGAATGACGAGTGGGCTCTAACATGAAGACAACATGCTGTTTGGAATGACCTGAGAAACCATATAAAACAGAAAGAAATTCACCTCATAGCTGAACAGTGTGTGGCTGTGTGGGACATCAGCTGTACAAGGCATGACAGACAGAAGGGGAGCTATAGGAAACACTAAACTCATTGTCATAGTGCACTCTTCCCACCTAAAACTATGAGTGTTAAGTAGCAAATCTAAAACTGAACATGTTCAGCTATTGTGTTTGTTGTTCCTTTTAAACACTGTTTCTCTTGTGTGCATCACTTTGAGTTGCTAAGTACTCTTGCATAAGTGTCTGGAATGACTAGGAAACCATCTACAGATGACATTCACTGCAGCTTTACCATAATGGAAACGATCCAAAGCAGCTAGCCATCTGCCTAAGTGATTGAGCTCATCTCTAAGGCATCTTATAGCTCCAAAGAATCAAGGGGGAATTTTTGTGAGAAAGAGAAAGATCATAATCTGTTTTCCACATGTGGATGAGTACATGCAACTTCAAATTCCAGATGTCAAAGTAATGTTTGATTTGAATAAATGAGAATGGAGAAAGAGAGGAGGGTGACATAAGAGGAGTTTTGGCCGGCTGCTGCTGGACTGAGACTGTTTCCCCCGGCCAAGAGACTCTGCAGATGCAGCACAGGAAAAGAGGAACATTTCGAATAATCCTTGAGTGACCTGAGATCAGCTGTATACCAGAAATGTTGCATCTGGGGAAGGCCGGGACTGAGCTGTGACCAGCCAATAAGCTGGGGTTTTTGTACAGCTGCTTTACAGTAACAGCATCACTGCACAGCTGTGTGAACACTTCTGCTCCCTCACCCCGCTGTACAAGCCGTTTGGAGAAAGAAAACTGAAAGAAATTGAAGTCCATAGAGCGTATTAGCATGGATTTCTTTAATTGAAGGAATTTTGCAAATTTGTGGAAATCAATATGTCTTCTGGTGGAGTTTTGCATCATGTCTATTTCAATTTTTCCCTGTGATACTAATACTATGATTGTAAACACTTTTGAGCAATCTACCTGTTGCTGCTGACATGATTTGAGAGCTGGTAAAACACAGTGAAAACGATTGAATTAAAGAGTGAGGTGCCTCGGATTGAGGTTAGCTGCGTGCAAGGAGAGAGAAGCACAGTGCAGGCCTACCATTTAGCAAGACTGCGACCAATCAAAACTGTAAATTGTATTCAACTTTTCTTTTTGTAAACTGCAGCAAAAAGTCCATCAGCACCCATGAGCATTTGGGATATTAATCTGACACACTAGGCTACTTTGTGTTTTCAGTTTTCTTCGAGGTTGATGGAAATGCATCCAAAAACAGAATTTTTCATATTTTTTTTATGTACTGTTAATATTCAAAGCATTGACAGAGAAATATACAAACAATTTGGCACACATGGTTCAGATCAACAACAAAAACAAATCACATTTAAAAGGAGTGCAGGTTGGCAGGTCCCCACATAAAGAGCATGAGCTTTGAACTTTAAACCCTTATAACCAAACAAACAAACAAACAAACTGAAATATAAAGGTAAAATCAAAATAATTATTAAGTGAAACATCTTCTTTCTTTTTTTTCTTTTTTTTTTAACTGAAGCGTTTGTTTCTCACATGGCACTCGGAAACAGAAGCACCGTCCACAGGTTCACAAAGGGAGCCCAGCAGATTAGAACAGAACACTAACCAGAGGCTGACAGGACACAGTCACTCCCCACACCAAGCGTAACAGTCGCACTCCAGCCCGGGCTGCTTCACCCCGCTCCGTGTTTTACCTCCAACCACCAAGGATGGATGAATGCTTTGATTTTAGCTGCCACCCAGGAGAAGTTGGCTGAGCAGGGACATGAGTATGTGTGTATTTCTGAGTGTTTATGTACGCAAACATGTGAAACCTGTGTCTTCACTGAGCTTCAGCAGATACAATGGGAGGGCATGATGGGAAAAAGGTTGCAAACCTGGAGCAGAGTCGAAGCCTGAATGGGACTGGAGTGCAAGTGCCATGCTCGCAAGTGCATTAAGATCAGCGAGCAGAGTGCAAAATACTAATACGAACTGTCCTCTTAACACAGGCCTCTTTATCAGACAGGAGGAGAGGTGGAGGAAGAAGGGAGGGAGCTGGAGTTGGAGCTACACATTACTGTAGCAGGGTTGTGTGAGAGGAAGTAGGAGCAGGTGCTTTTTAAAACCTGACAGACGACCTGAGGACACACACACATCTTCACACACAATGGCACACCATACACAGCACATGAGGGAGGCCACTCATGCTAACACAACAACTTTTTTTCTGGGGGGTGGGGGTGGGGGAGGGGGTTTCCCCCCAATTTTTTTTGTTTTTTACAAAGTCACTAGTCACCATCTGAGTCTGAACTCTGCAGCCGGGCTCACAGACAGGCTGAGGGGTTAGAGGATGGGTGGGGTGGGGGCAGGTAGGTAATGGCAGGTTTAAAGCGAGGTTTCAAAGATGATATCCTCCTATACTTGAAATATTTAGAGTGCACCCAGGGGATTTGTGTGTTGAAATATTGAGGAATATCTTGAAAAGACATTACACCAGTGAGAATAAAGGTCATACTGGCCATCAGGGGGAGCTGTGCGCTGTTTAACCGACACACATTTTCAATACTGGCATTGAATTTTAGACCTTTTTAAACAAACACTCTTACTAACTCCCCCTCCTAATTTTGACTCCATAAATCCTTTGTACGTTTTGCACCTGTTAAAAGACTAGATCTAGAGCAGAACAGGGAGACGCAGGGAGAAGGGAATCAGAGAAGAAGGCCACAGTTCCTCCTCCTGACGAGCCTGACGCCTGTTGCTATGCCGACCATAGAGAGAGAAATGGAAACAGGAGGACAAGCAAGAAGGAGGGCAGGCAAAGTATGGATGCCAGCTTGAATTGAATTCTCCTCTCTCTCAGATCGGGGTGATCGACAGGCCCGTGGTCACTGTGAAAGGAGCAGAATGCCATGGAATGCCTCGAGGAGGATCAGGGAGGATGGCGATGGTGGGGTGGGGGGAAGGGGGGGGATTTTTCACCTTCTAAACTTGCTCATTTCAGACTCTTCACGGTCTCAGCATGACAGTGCCCCTTTCATCACATCAAGAGAGTGTATGTTTTTGTGTGGGGCTTTTTTGAACAGAAACAAATTCTCTCTTAATTGGCACCACACACTTCTTGCCAACAGTTGGTCAGCTAGAAAAATCTGTAACTAAGGAGAAGAAAGCTGAGCAATGATTTCAGCCTCCCTATTCAGTGCTGCACAGAAAGGCTCATTATGTGGGAAATTCATATTCAGGCAAGTGCAAAACTGCAGCCAGTGTACTGAAATTTGCTGGGAACGCATGCATTCTGGTGCTGTTTCCCAAAGACTAGTGAAGCTAATGCAATATCAATGCCAAACGAAGTTAACCCTGTAGGACTGACACTTATCTGAGCTACCATCATGATCAGAAGCATGATGTAGATAACTCCAGGGGAGGCGGGAGGCATCGGCCAATCACAAGCATCTCTGACTCATCCTTTAGTGACATAACTGAGCTCTGGACAGTAAAAGAGCAACGTGTGGGTGGGTGTGGTTCTTCATTTAGCCCCCACTATTAATGCCTGTCTGTGGGTCCGGCTCAGGGGTGGTGTGGGTTGTTGTGTGGGTGGGAGTGGGAGTGGGAGGTGGACTCAGCACAGTGAGGAAAGGGAGGGGGAAAGAGGACGGGGGCAGGTGGAAGTCAAAGCAGAACAATTGAGCACAGTGGGAGTTGAGGTGCAGAGGGGCAAGGTTAGGGCTGGAGTGGGAGCGGGGATTGCAATTGGCAAAGAAAAAAGTAATTTATCCGAGGCCTCGTCCTTACTCACAATCCTCCATGGCTCGCTAGTTCCCAATAGGTATAAATCAATTGAATGTTGCGTCTGATTTTTCTTGAAATGCAGAGGGGTGATAAGTCGGAGCTTGTGAGTGTTACAAGTGATCACACATTTTCTTTTATTTGACAAAGGCAAGAAATCAGAAAGGGGTGGGGTGGGGAGAGGAGGGGATTGGGCAGTGGTGGGCCGGAGTAATTACTGCCATTGAGGACTCATGAGGGGAGGCGGTAGGGAAGGTGGAAGAGATGAAAAATGATGAAAAAAAGATGACATTGTAATCTACCATCCTTGCCTATCCTTCACCCACACCCTCCCATCCCATCCCATCCTTACCCCCAACCACCACCCACACCCTCCCATCCCATTCCATCCTTACCCCCAACCCCCACCCACACCCTCCCATCCCATCCCATTCCATCCTTGCCCCCAACCCCCACACCACACCCTTCCTCCCAGAGAACAAACTCCCTGCTGGTTTGCTCGACTCTCCCTACATCCCTCTCACTTCTCCTCCTTCTTGGCCTCCTCTTTCTTCTCTTCCTCCTTCTTGGGTTCCTCCTTCTTGGGCTCCTCTTTCTTCTTGTCGTCCTTCTTCTCCTCCTTCTTGCCATCGTCCTTCTTCTTGTCGTCTTTCTTCTTGTCGTCCTTCTTCTTGTCGTCTTTCTTGTCCTCCTTCTTGGGCTCCTCCTTCTTCTCCTCCTCCGGCATGGGCTCTGTGGTGAGGATCACTTTGCCGATGTTGTTCCTCTCCTGCATCTTTCTCATGGCATCTCCCACCTTTCAGGCGATAAGAAAGAAGAAAGACAGTTACAGATGTCAAGAAGTATGAGTGAACCATTTAAAGAAAGGCAATGAAGATTTAAAAAAGACCTGTTAATGGGTTAAAATAAAACACTGAGTTTCTCCTTCACCAAAACATATCTGCAGAGAAGTAACACTCACATTGTGTAACTTTAATCTTCTATTTTAATGACACAGGCTGGGAACACGTTTTACAGGCTCTAGAAATACAACTTTAATATGCAGTATATGAGAAAATACATTTTGGTAAGATTAGACTTTGATAATCTATGAGGGGAAATGAAATTGTTGCAGTGGCAACAAAGTAAAAATAAAAAATGGAAGGGATGATAAAGGAACACGACATGTACCGTTAACACATACTCTCATTATTCAAATGTATTATGATTAAATAAAACCTTCTGATTGCTATGAGCGCTTCAGTTAAATCATGGCTCTTAAATGAATTTTGATGTCATCATTTTATAAAATTAAGTTTAAATAATTTAATTTCACTAAGAAGTGACAGAAAATAACCAAAAAGTTTAATTTTTTTTTTTTTTGTGTGTGTGTGGTTGTGTAATCACTCCTTTCCCGCTGATGACAGAGTCAACTGCAACGATGTATATTTTAGATAGACTTTGAAAGACATGAACTTTGAGTCTGGGAATAACATTATGAATTTGGGCTGTACAAGTAAAGATTGATGGATTGATTGATTGATGGATTGATGGATTGATTGATTGATGGGAAACGACTTGAAACTCTCCGTATGTGTGTGAAAGTATGACTAGTCTTAGAAATAATAAAAAGATAAAATTCATCCTTTTTCAGGCCAGTCCTCAAGAGGAGACGGAAACAACTTTTTAAATTTTAGTTTTTTGTGTGGAGATCAAAGCAACAATTTCTGATGCATTCCAGGAAGTCCACAACTCTGAATGCTGTCGCTCAAGTAGAAATTGTTGATCTATAATTGATTGTTAACTTCCCTTGCATGGAGATATCTGTTTATAGAGATAAATGAGTCGTCATCAGATTACTGCCAATGGGAGGATGTCATTATGGCGGAATGCGTTCTGTCTGCTTTTGCTCTCCATACGGACTGTTTTTTGTGCATACACCAAAGCTGTATGCAGAATGCAAGATTGGTCAATACTCAGGCTTACTAATGAAATTTAAATCAACACACTTCCCATACTGGAATCGAAACCTCTGCCTACATATAAAAAATTTTGTTTTTAGAATAACTGTTTCTTATGTAATAAGAGATTTACCGGTTGTTGATCAGAGAATATCACTTCCCAGAAGAAAAAATAACAATAAACGTGGAACTGATTGCACAACCAAAATTGCCATTTTCAGGGACAGCAAAAAAAGTGTTTGATTTTCACGATGGATCTCCCTCAATGACTTCCATCAGCGACATTACAAAGAGAGAGGACTCCATGCCAAACCAACCCCACCCTCTTCTTGACCACTGCGCTCAGTCCGCTGTCTGCTCTTGCCTCCATCGCCCCCCCCCCCCCCCCCACACATGCACACACTTCTCTTCCCTCTGCGTGCGAGGCAGGCAGATCACCTAACGACCAATGCCACGGCAACAGGGCCATCTCCTAGCAACGTGAAGCCTGGCTAAAACGTGTCCCTGACGGCTCCGACACGCGGGAAAGAGGGAGGGGGGAGTATGGGAGTTTGAAGTGGAGGCGGGAGGAGGAGGAGGGAGGTGGGAGGGGGTACAAGGGGGAGCAACTGGTGGAGCCTGCCTCGCTGAAAGAATCATCTTCGACATGAATGAAAATCAGAAAGGGAAAGTGACAACTCCACCTACATCCACCCTTCACTCTCTCAACCTCTCTCCCAGTTATCTCGGACTGGAGTGTGTGCTATTTGTGGACGCAGACAAGACCATGATCCTCTTGGGCATCAGAGCAGATGTGAATAATGATGCATGGGAAAACCACAGGATGGAGGCTCATTTCCATATATCGATGTTATCCCAGCATGTTTATTGATTGGGAGCAGAAAGTGGAGTTATAATGGAGAAAGGGCTGTGATGGATGGAGTCTGGGTGTGGCATTTTAACTCACATAATCCATAATTAATCTGGTTAATTACTGAAAAACTGCTTTTTGTCTCTGCGTTCGAAAATACACACTTGATACTTAACACACCCTCAGATCTACCTTCCTCTCTGTTCTTCCATCCATGTCTCTCTTTTTTATACGTCAGGGCCCCTCCCTGAGACACACACACACACACACACACACACACACCACCTAACGGATGTCACCATAGCAACAAGCGAGAAAAAGCAAAAAAGATACACTGTGCGGAGGGAGAAGAAGAGAATACAGGCAAGATGGAGAGAGGCTGAGAGGGAGTCAATAACCTAAAGACAGAAAGAAAAGAGAGAGATATAAAGAGCAGACAGATGGACAGGCAGAGAAAGAGCGTCAGATGGAGGAGAGAGACAGCGGGTATTTCTTTCAGGCCAAAAAAAAAAAAAAAAAAAAAACTGACCAGCTCCGACTTCGACAACAGAAGATGTCAGCCTGAGTCTCCCTCTTTCTCTCTATGTTTCTCACACTCTCTCTATTCAGATCTGTTTGCAGTGTTGATTTTGTCAGCAACAAGCTGACTCTGTCTGGCTAAGTGACTGATGCTGGAGGAGACACAAGAGGGTCTTGTGGACAAACTTTGCCTGATGACTGTCGAGCCACACCCTGCTCCTGCAGATCATGCTGCACAGACCAAACACACACAAACACAAACACCCACCTGGCTTTCACATGAATACTTGGTGACAGGCTTGTAAGCACATGGCATAAAAATCGATTTAAATCAGGTGTAAATGCACAAATGTCACAGTGAATCATCCGGACACATCCAGACAGAGGAGCACACGGAGTCTCTAGGTTACACCAACAACCATGCATTAATGCTCCTCCAATCCACACACTAAACCTGCTTTACAGAAATACATATTTCAAGATTTTTTTTTTTTTCGTCATCATACAGATATATAATATATATATATATATATATATATATATATATACATAGTGATGTGTGGCTTTTACTGGATATTTAATAGCAAAGACTGTTTATAGATATAATGTATGATAAGAAGAGTTTATTTCGGCTGAATAAAATCCTTAAATATAAATCATCATTACATTAAACTGAACTAATATCATTATTAAGGATCATCTTTTGCAACATGGTTTTGGTTAAGACATGATTCTGATTGGTTGCAGGGTACCTCCTGAGAATTGGACACATGTGACCTGAGGTGATGCACGAGCTGCGACCAACACTAGAATTACGAACCCTTCATCTTTAATAGAGAAAGTTACGATTATTTGTGACTTTCATACTTTGTAAAATGTACAGAAAAGTAAAATAGTGGAATTATTTTCTTCTTTAACGGGTCACCATATGGCAAGCGACTATAATGGCCACCAAGGGGCCTTTTTTTAGTTATCCGTATAGGAGCAAGTATCCAATATGCAGCAGAGGACAGTTTTGGCGTTCACGTCATCCATAAAAACTTGATAATGGACACATCAGCTGGGGCTATCGCTCAAATGTTTAGCATTAACAAAATGTGTTAAAAAGGACGATGTTGACAATGTAATAGAAACATGCCAGGTAAAAAGGAGCCTCAGTGAGGCGCATACCTGCTCCATGTGCCAGGTTGAGTCGATATGGGGCTTAACCTTGCCCTCCTTGTACAGATCCAGTATGGTGTTCATGGCCTGGCTGATGAGCTCCATCTCTCCATCCAGGTAGCCCAGATGGAAGCCGCACACAGACTTGTTCCCCTGGATCAGACTGAGCGTGTGGATGGAGAACTGATGGTACCAGTTCTTGGCCACGGCCAGCAGGTTCTTCTTTTGGCCAGCGAGCATGTTAGCTGTACCTTAGGGAGAAGAAGGGTGACAAAAAAAAACATCAAGGCCTGGAGTTTGAGGTTTACCAGAAAGAGTGTGTATTAAATGATATGTGTTTGGATTTTATGACAGTCAATTGGGGAAAAACATGTTATTCGGAGGCATTATTTTGGGTATCTCTATTTTTCTCCTCCCCCCTTTATTGGCAAGAATTGACAAATGTAAAGGCCGGATCTTTTAGCCGCATGTCAAACCAGATGTACTCTCAGCTGCCTCCAATCTTACTCTCTAGTTACAGTTAGTTTTCATGTTCTTTCTACTCACTTTCTACATGCATTCACACCCTCACCTACACCTTTCACCCTGAAAAACCTCTTTCTCACTTTAGCCCCCACTGTCACTACATCCTCTTTCAATTCCATCCCTCTGTGCTCACACTAGCTCTGTGTGTCTCTCTCAGGGGAACCAGGGGACACAAAGCACACTGTGAGAGAAGAGAGGAACCCGGGCCTGCTACATTCAGACACATTCTAGGTTTTCGTGTGGATAAAACGCCCATTGTTCCGCCGTGCATACTTCTGATAAACTGGAAGAGGAGCAGGCAGCACACAGGGACTGGGGGGGGGAGGGACTAGGCTGGGGGGAGAGAGGAGGGAGAGTTCTGTATTAGGGGAGCGGGTGCATGGGCGAGGGTGGGGGGCACCATGCTGGGTAGTGGGTTTTTGTACATCATGCAAAGGCAAGGCCCTGTTCTCTATGGATGCCGACCCCGCCCACTCTTGCATTCAGATTGGCATCGCAGCAGAGCGAGCGTAAAGGCCTTCCCACGAATGACATGCAGCACACTGAGGACATGGACTTCTGCAGAGAGGTCACACAGCCCACAAAGAAGCTTCATTTTGATGCACTGCTTTAATGTCATTTATCATTACAGTCCCACATTTATGTAGTCAAGAATGACTGAATTTGGCGCTGCCTTTTTAAAACAGTCCAAAATGTCTGATATTTGGAAATAATATTTGAGGGGGATGTTGCAAAACTAATAAGGAGGCTATAACATGAAAAAAAAAAAACTGCCTCTCTTGGTAAAAGTAATAAGATATATCTGATGACACCTGCTGTCTAAGAATCATAAAGGTGAAAAAAACAAAAATCTTCAAAAAACATTAACTAATAAGATAACCTTCAGCATCCTATCGTGCTGAGCAATGCTGCCAAAGAGCATGATAAACCATGTTGTTGTTTTTTCGGCATTACATAAGAGGCTCTGGTTTAAATTTGAACAATCTTCTGAAGCTTGGTTGGAGAGGTTCATACAGTCTGGGAGGAGTGAGGTTTTTGTTTTATTTGGCTTTAGCTCATAAAAGTGTTTTTTTTAAATCTGGAAATGTCATGTGTAAAACTGCTTCCATCAGTGAATTTGTTCAACATTCTTCCGTATAAAGCGTCTTTGCGGCTTAACTCTTGCGTCTCTAACCCATGGAGGGTTAGGCTCGTCGTATTTACTTACCATAGGTGATGAGTTTTCCCATAGGCTTCAGCAGGTTGTAGGCCTTATGGGTGTCTGATCCTCCGAGAGGGTCCAGGATTATGTCCATCCCTGAAACAAGAGAGAGAAGAAGGGGAGACTGATTACAGGTCTGGATTCAGATGTAGCAGCCTGCCAAGTCTCCTCAGCAGCCCCCTCTGCATGCCGGAGTTCACTTGGAGTAGCAAATGCAGCCAAGTTGTGCCATGTTTACACGAGGAGGAACCTGTACGTATGCCAAGAGCAGAGAGGAGTGAGGGGTGAGATCCTTCTGGGTTTTTGTTTTCTCATTCTTGTCACTGATAAGACAGGAGGGATAAAATGTCTCCGTGTCATTGCTCATTCCTTTCCTGGGTGGAGGGAATAACAAACCGTCGTCGGGACGGATTGCAGTGCATGGAGACCTATCAATGAAGCTTTCTCTGCAGCTTATTAATGTCTGGCCATGCAGGCTCAGACTTAATGATGTCCCTTTGTGCCAGAGGGGACTCCTCAAATTGGGCTACCCCTCCTTGCTCCGTTAAACCCAGCTTCTATTGATTGCAGGAGGCTCACAGCAGGACTCTGCCATGACCGCAGCACAGATGAATTGACAGAAAGCCAAAGACAAAAGGGGAAAGGTAGTGAGCAGGGCTTCACATTGATCCAAGCTTCTAATTAGATACATTCTGTCCAAAGTGTCAGCTCCGGCTCTAGTCCTATCAGTCTCTGAAGTGTCGATCTATCTCGCTCCATGTCCCAAAGAACAGACAGGCCTATACGATGGAGAGGGGGGGTATGAAATTAATCTTAAGCTTAAAAAACAGTCTCCATCCTGCTGGAAACACGGCAGTAGGCAGAAGAAAAAGAAAAGAAAAAAACAGCAAAAAGCAGCATTTTTGAAAGCCCAGTCACTCACTGTTTGGTGAATTGAGTTTGCCTGATGGGGAAAAATGTCTTCCCACATGCTGTCAGTCTAACAAACATGGCAGCCAACTCTACTGAGAATTCTGCATGTGAGAGAAAAAAAAACTTAAGTATTAAGATTCATCATCTCACTGTTTGCACTTTGTTAACACTGATTAACAAAAGCTGGAGTCAGACAGTGTTCCCCGTTTTAACACGATGGCCATTTTCCTCTGAAGTCTGGATCAGCTCAACAGCTGTTATGATGTCATCCTGTCATGTTCCAAGTCTTTTGAACACAGTAATGCTGATACATTGTTTCAATTTTATGGGTTTCTGACTAGGGATTGTAAAAATCTGGAAACAGATAGAAGAAGAAGACAAAGACTTTGTAAAAAAAACTACAAATTTGACAACCAGTTAGCTTAGGTTAGCATTCAACCACCTTGAAGCTAACATTACTTTTCAGCGAAAGAGATACACAATAGAAAAGGAAAACTATACATTATTCTGAAATGAAAACACACCTTTTGCATGAACTTAACCCTGGAAGTAAAACACACTGGATGTTTCCTATCATATCATGTTTCACCATCAAACTGTAATGCTAGCTTAGGTTGAACAGTTGGTAGCTACTGAGTTATAAGACATGCCGTTCCTTCGACATTTGGTGATTTTTATTTTCCCAGTCTGTTGTCTTAACCATAAGGAAGCTGTGAAATGAAAATTATTTATTAGATTATTTGGGAGTGTTGTTAAAGTGAATGATAAGGGTGTGAATATGGTGAATTAAGAGCCATGTAGGGAACCCATGAATACAATTATGGACTATTTGTTAAACAGTTTTAATTAAAAAATGCATAAATGTCTAAATATTGCATTTTTTTTTTGTCATCACACTTGTCCAGGGTCAGATGAGTTTCTCACCTTTGGGACTGATCTTGCGGACCTCCTCCACATAGTCCTTGGTGCGGTAGTCAATGGGATGCTCGACCCCGCCCTGGCTGATGGTCTCGTGCTTGCTGGCCGATGCTGTGCCAAACACGGTCACATCCTTCACCGTCTTGCACAGCTGAGTGGCAGCGATGCCGACGCCACCTGAAGAAAGACAGCATGGGGTCATTATTATACAGAAGATGTTTGTGTATTCTTTGGCTTAAGTGAGTCATGCTTAACCTAACGTTTTTTAATACAACTCTGTGAAACTGAAGAGAACCGCCGCTGAAGGCATCTGAGGTTTCCCATTCTATGCGTATTTTCAGCAGTGGTCAGATTTCGGCAGGTAAATGGGATTTGCATTATTTTTTTTATCTCAAACAAGGCAGTCAATAACAGGCAGTCAGTGTTTGGCCCTAGGGTATGCAAAGACGTGAATTAAACACAATCACATTACCCCAGTTGGCCTTGGGAGAATAGATGCCCACACACAGATCCACAGACACAAAATTCTGGAGAGAGTGACCATTGTAGCTCAAATGACACATCTAATGTTTTGGTGGCCTTACTCAAGACCAGTCTGAAATTCCTCAGGACAAAAAAAAAAAAAAATGCAGCAGAGGAATCTGTTTTGTTGGGAAAATAAACATTCTATCTTAAATTACAAAAACAAAGCTCCTTCTATCTATGCAAGCTGAAAACTAAATTTGCTACATGGTCCGATATAAAGTATGGTAAGACTGTGAGTTTCAGTGGATGTTTCACATATCTGTGTTTGTGTCCACGGTATTTGAAAGTGTGTACATAGTTGTGGCAAATGCCTCAGCCAATGTTTGCGCAGGAAGCCAGAACAAGGAGTAATAGGTTACTGATAAGCAGGGGCTTGTTTGATATAGAAGCTGACTTGAGGACTTGAAATGAAAGGTTTCTATAAAGGTCATCTGAGCCTGACCAAGTAAAGAACACATCTTATCTGCTCCTGGAGAACAAAGAAACAGCTGCATTTACATCAACCTGCAATGACACAGCTGCAGTGAATGAACATGTGTAATTTAAATGTACAATAAAATTGTTTGCATCTAACTTCAAACGTAGTCAGAAAGGCAGTAGTGCAGGGAGGAAGGATCACGAAGGCCTGTGCACACTGGATTAGATTTCTGCAAAGGAACCAAGTCATATTTTTTTTCATTTCCTATCATATCAAATCAATATGATACTTCCTGTGTGCTTTTAAAAAGAGAAAAAAAAACCACACAAAATGATGCATACCACACCATCTCTCGCTGCCATCAATCTCCAAAATGTATTTTTTAAGCTCTGAAAACATCTCTGTTTATTGTTGTGTGACAATAAATTCTCGGAAATTTCAAATTGGATTTAGATGGTTTGTTAAACAAACGATATAGTATAACTTTTCAACCGGTTAAACAATCAAATTTCAAAATGTAAACAAAAAGTAGATCCAGATGTTCATCATTGGACAGATTTTTACTTCATCTGCTGTTCATTCAAAGTGTCAGGACCAGTAATTGTACAGTTGTTGTGCTTCTTCATGTCTTTATTAGTAGAATATGTTAATATCAGAAATGCTATCTATTTTAATCCTTAGTATGGCTCAATATATAATGCATTAAATGACACTGAGGCACATCCTGAACTTTCATCTTTCTGTCTGTGCTATTGAACCATTTAAAATCACACTTTACTTTAACATATACGGTTTGTCTCTGAGCCAGAACTCTCACATAAAACAGCACTGATACTGGTCAAAAAAATAACTTTATAGTAATATTAGGATTAATGTCAGATGAGATGATTTTCCCTGTTAATATCTGACAAAGAAAAGTGCTCAGCATGAGAATAAAAGAGGTTATTTTCAGAGCTTTAACTTTCTAATTGAAAGAGTGCTTTGTTGAGGAAAGTAGTCCCTTGAAGGAAGAAGAGGAAAACAAATAGAATATAACCCTTTCACTTCCCTCAACTTCAGCAAAATTTGGACTTTTGAAAGCGAGCCCAGGTCTGTGTGAGATAATGAGAGTACTCTGCATAACTTCAATCCATGCCTGCTGACACCGAGGAGAGCACTCATGAGAAAAAAACAAAACCAAGGCTGCATGTTGCAGCTAGATGTGAGCATTGTTACAGCTTCGTTATAATAGCTCCATCTCTCCTTGTCCTCAGTGAGAAACCAAGTTTGTGTTGCCAAGGAAACCTGGGCCAAATTGCCGGCAATGACTGAGCAAAGGGAGCCATTTTGTTTCATTGACTGCTCTTCCTTGGGGCATAAAAAGATTCACACAGAAGACAGTATCAAGCTGTCGTTGACAGACTGGGTCAGAGCTTTCTCTTTGTAAGGATGTGCCAGTTTTTTTTTTTTTTTTTTCCAGGGGTAATTTTAGGGATAGTTCCAAGGCCAGACATTACATGTATTTTTTTTTTATCCCTATTCGAGAGCACCTGTTTAAGAGAGTCAGAATGGAAGATAAGAAAGCTGAGTCAACATTGAATATGCATTGCCCGAGTGTGAGGTTAAGAGCTGCTTTTGCTTAATGGCTCTGCCTCATAGTAGCAGCACTCACATACAGGTGTGAAATGTGCCCAAGAGGATGATGCATCCATTAACCCCGTATACTTCCAGCCAGACGCTCACATAATAATATTTAACCAATGCTGCTGTCATAAACGCGGACACCCCTTCTGGTCCTGCTGCATGAAGTCAGCAGGCAAATTGAACAATTCAAACATTGTTTTAATTTTGTTATTGATGTCTTTTTTATGTAAAGGAAAAATGAGCAACGTTCTAATCCTGATTGCTGTATAATCTGATCTGTTGATCTGTTTTCTGTATTTCCAGTCTAAAAAGTGTACAGCTTCCATTGAGAGAGATTGTACCTGTTTCTTAATTCCCCTGTGAACAAACTCCTGATCTCCCATCACATGACTGCTGAGCTCTGCCAACAACCTCACACACACACACATGCGCACACACACACACACACACACACACACACACACACACACACACATTCACAAGCTCATACCAACACACATCTATACATCCGTACACATACTGTGTAGATCACAAAGCAAAGAGAAGCTGGCTGCAGCCTTGAACAGTTCTGAATGGCCGCTGGTATCAGCTAATCTTCACAAATATGCACAGAGATGAAAATATTACCCTCTCGTTGACCCCGTGCTTGGTTTCCTTGGTTTCCTGATGTAAAGTTTCTCCATCTATATCTACTTCTTTAGACCACATCTCTCCTGGTGGGTGTGGAGTGTGATTTAAAACAATCCGCTAACACTTACTCATTGCTCAGGGATGAGAAAGTAACTTGAGCAAATTCTATCAGCTAACAACATTTATTCTCCTCGAAATTCCTCTGAATTGCTGACACTTGGGAATTGGGATATCTCAAAGATCATCCACCTTTCTATCTTGTTTTTCACTCTGGAGCAACAGGACACACAGTGGGGTTTTGTCTTCCCTTGAATCCTTCCTTTACTTGCATTTTGGCACAAATTGGACTTGGCTTCCATAACGTGACTGTGAGGAGCGAAGAGGAATTTTCCCCAAAACACAGCGGATTCCAGAGTGACACTGAGGCCGCTGTTATTGCTCCACACCCAGAATTCAACAGCAGGGGTCAGCGAGGACATGAAAATTTAAAAATCATTTTTTAAAGAAATGATAATAGGACAGATGACATGTCTGAGAGAGCTTTCAATTTACTCAAACATCCATATCAAATTGAGAGAAGTGTGTTTCTTCATAGTTATTAAAATGTCAAATAACAGTTGGAAGACAAGTGGTAACCAACAACGCAAAAGAGACGACTGGTCCCCTGTCTCTAAGCTTGTGTTGTTTTCTAGTATGATTTCTCCTGAATTTGTTTCCACGTTTCCTCAAGGACTTTATGAACCTATCATTAGCCTGTGGTTGCAGCGGCTGACAAAGAATTCAACACAAATATGGACCCAAGCATCTCTTTTTCACCCTAACATTCAGTGGCTTCATTACAACATAAACAAAAAAAACAAAAAATGAAACCGTATAAATTGTGTTTTTATTGCAGTGCCACAGAAAAGTTCAGATGTAATTCCTGTAACGTTGACAGAAGCTGTGGTTGCCAGTGTAAACGTGTACTCCTCCTGAGGTATTACTCTGGATTATGTAACCGTGGTGTGGTTTTTTTTTTGGGATGACTGTGTGTGTGTGTGTGTGTGTGTGTGTGCACCATGGGCTTTGAGAGCACTTTATGTGCTCTCTCTGATAGAAACTCTGATAGAGAAGCAGAGAGGAAGCCCATTTTTAGTTACTGGGTGAGTGAATTTAAAACATAACATCCTCTGCTGGTGTGAAAAGCTGGTCCATGTGATTTCCTGAGAAATAATTTTCATGCTGCAAACTAAACACTGCATGCAGAAATACACATTTGCATCAAAACAGCTGCACATGCACAACATTTCTTTTTTTTTTTTAGCATATATGCATTGAAAAAGTATATTTCTTTAATTTCTGGAGGTTCACACATGCACACAAACAGGTGTTCCACATACACCTGCGACTGTTTGTGGTTAGGGTGGGGGTAGGTGCTGGGGTCATTTGTCAACTGCTGCAGCAACAAGGGCACGAGCAAGCAATGTGATTGGTGGGTTAGGATGGAGGTTGCCCTGGTTTCCCTCTCCTATCAGTGCAGTTGATCTGCCGCCGGCGATGCCAGGCATGGGGGAACACAGAGACGGTTCAACCACACAGCCCAGACTCCCGTTCAGTGGTCAGACTGAATTAGCATTCTCTAAAGTAGGGTAAGACCTCCTGAGAAGACAAACCAGGAAGAAGAGAAGACAGGAAACCATTTTATAAAGGCTCCCAGGAACAATGAGTCTATAAAAGGGAGACATGTAACTACACTAAAGCTAGGGCTTAAATAGCTTGGGTTTGTTAGCTGATGGAAAAGGAATGAGCACAATAATCAAAGAGGGAATCCAGGGAGAAATAAGACACATACAAATCTATATCTCCTTCCTTATAGCTCACATGTTTCTTGCACTCATTCAACCCAGAAAAAATAGATCACATTTCTTTTGCTTTTTCGATCTGCAATCAACTGAAAATCCATACCAAGATGAGGCAATCGCTTTCAAAACACAAGAGATCC